TGGAAGGTGAGCCAGCCGGGCAGCTGCTCGCGCGGGGCGACGGTGCCGTCCCACAGCTCGACCTACCAGAGGGCTCCGAGATGTAGTCGAGAGGAGCGCTCTCTTCCTATCGACGAGCGCCGTGCCCCCCCCGCAAACGGACCACGCAGCGAGGGTGCGCGGCGTGCAGCGCGTGCTCGAAGCCGGCGTCGGAGCCGTACCTGATCTCGGTCAATCTCGCGGGTCATCTCGGGTCATCTCAGGCCAGTCTCGCGCGCTGTGATTATGCTATCTCGGGTCATCTGCGAGGGCTGGAGATGGAGCTCGAGGCGTCACTCTTGAGTCTACGCGGGCACCCGATCGACAGCATGAAGCACGGCTCTGCGGCCGGCGGCATCGCGTCGAGGCAGACGACCTTGCGTGCGGGACGGAGAGAGGGAGTGGGGGAGCTGGCGGGGGAGCGGGTGGGAGGGAGACGGTTCGTCGACCTTGCCTCCGTCTCCGCTCGGGCCGAACCGGCGCGGCCTTGTGCAGTCGTACCCCTCTGCGGTGGCCGTGTTCCTTGAGGTAGGGGTAGGGGTAGGGTTAGGGTTAGGGTTAGGGTTAGGGTACCTCTGCGGTGGCCGTGTTCCAGCTCCGCTGAAAGTACGCGCGCAGGTCAGTGCCTTGCCCTGGCACGGCTGGCCGGCCGTTTGCCTCCCACTCGCGCATCGCCGCGTCGCGCCGACTACAAGGAGGTCAAAGGTAAAGTGCACAATTATGCTTATGCGAGGCGGGGCAAGCGTCTCAAATTGACCCACCACATCTCCCCCTCCCTTCCCCTTCGCCCCCCGCGGCATTCGGAGGGCAGGGGCCGGGCCCGCGCCTCTTCCAGGCAATGTACTCGGGCGAGAGGCGGTAGGCGGTCAGGTTGAAGGCGGGGCGGGAAATGCCGTCGTCTGACCAGCGCTGGCGTCGCAAGTCTCTCGCCTCCCGCCACGAGCGGTACGATGATGAGTTGTAGTAGGCCGTCAGGTTGCCGAGCCGACTACAAGGAGGTCAAAGGTAAAGGTGCAAATTATGCATATGTCAAGCGTCTCACAATTGACCCACCACATCTCCCCCTCCCTTCCCCTTCGCCCCCCGCGGCATTCGGAGGGCAGGGGCCGGGCCCGCGCCTCTTCCAGGCAATGTACTCGGGCGAGAGGCGGTAGGCGGTCAGGTTGAAGGCGGGGCGGGAAATGCCGTCGTCTGACCAGCGCTGGCGTCGCAAGTCTTTCGCCTCCCTCCACGAGCGGTACGATGATGAGAGGTGGTACGCCGTCAGGTTGTCGGTCAGGTTTCGTGCGTCGAGTCTGGCGCTGGCGAGCCGCGTGGCGCGATCTCGTCGCGCCGATTGCCGTGCCAAGAGCCAGGCGTCCATCCTATCACCATTATCGGCCGCCGCGAGCGAGGTGGCAGGACCTCGAACCTCCGTAGGATGGGCGGCGGCAGCGCCGATCGCTGGTGGGCTCACGGTGACGGCAGCGCCGTCGGCGGTGGGAACGACGGTGATATTTGTGGTAGCCACAGTGGCGACCACCACGGCGACCGCCACCGGCAACATACACACACAATACCTGTTTATATCATCCGTGTCAACCGATCTCGCTACAAAGAATTCACAGCGCGAGAAATCTAGCTCCGACGTGGGCTCGGCAGCTTGTCAGGGACTGCGAAGAGAGATAGGAAGGGGCAGACGCCCAAGGGTGGGCGACGGCTAGCACCACCACACTCCTCTCCTTAAAATCCCTGTGTAGTGGCGGCGTGCCGTCCTCCCATCCCTCCCTTGGGGTGTCTCAATTCTTTGTTCTTTTTTTTGCTTGTCAACCCTCATCATCAGCCGAAACTGGAATCGGAACCATAGCCGAGAAAGTCGTCGAGGCGATCGAAAATGAGAGTTTTTACACCAGATAATAAAGGGTGGCAAAGGGCTCTGCCCGCAAGGCGCCCGCGTCGGCTCGCAGACGCGGTACCATTGACAAATCTGCAATATACCCCGTGCACGAACAGCGGGATGTCGGCCGTGGACGGACGCAAGCCTTCAGCTGGGGCCAGACATTCGATTGTGTTGACAACATTCGTAAAATTGAAGCCAAGAACGTCCGCCAGATCCGTGCTTTCGGAGCAACTAAGTAAGGGGAAAGCCGCTGATCGAGCCCAGCGTGCCCGGAGCGGCCGCACACTGCTCGGTACCCCCCCTGCACAACTAAGCTCATGGCCGACCCCCCCCCAGCAGCAGCGCTCTGCTGCTGGGGGGGTCGGGACCCGCCCCCCAGCAGCAGCGCTCTGCTGCTGGGGGGGTCCGGACTCCCCCCCCAGCAGGAGCGCTCTGCCTGTGGGGGGTGCTAGGCGTCTCTGTACAGACAGCAGCTGTAAGTAGCATGCGTTCCAGTGGCGAGAATTTATGGTCGGCACCAAAATCAGTGGTCTCACCGGCGGGCCCTCCTACTGCCAACCGGGAGGTGCGGGGCACGCCAGCCTCTCTTCTACGCCTCTCGTGCCTCGCGGCGCCTCTGCTTCAAGGGGGGAAGATACGGCTCTCGCAGCCCATCATACGCCGTGGCACAGCGGGGAGCACAGCGGGCTGTACAAGATATTGTTCCCTATCTTCGCATGCTCGTCGTTGGTGATATCCGCGCGAGGTCATACGCCACAGGCCAGCCATCACTCGATGATGAGACTACACTGATGTATAGGCGCGTGTGGTATTACAAGATAGACTCACACAAGTGTGTAGTAAAACGCCAGCACTCGACACGACGAAGGTGTATTGGGCTCGAAGGCGCGGTGAACACAACCGCCTCGAGCGTACCGCTCAAATACGAGCCGAGGGTGGAGGGGGGGGCGGCGGCGAAGAGGCGGGAGAGCGGGGTCCAGTGCGCTCTGCTGCTGGGGGTGTCCGGACCCCCCCCCCCCTTCAGTGCTCTGCTGCTGGGGGGTGCTGTCCTCCCCCCAAGGCATTCGTGGTGTACTATATGGGTAGGCAGGTCTTGCCCACCGCACCGTCTCCCATGATCACGCACTTGATGTTCGGCATCATGGCCGCCATGGCGGCGCCGGCCGACCCGAGCCGCCTTCTTGTGCTCGACCGAAAGGAGGGTTTTCGGCCGTCCCTTTTGGGTTTTTTTCTCTGTTTCAGCTGTTCGCGTTCACATAAACGCACAACCCCGGGCCCGAAATCGCAGAGAGACAGTCACGCAACACGGGGTCCAGGGAAGGCGAGCAAAAACCTTATCGCGCGCGCTAGCCGCCGACTCGGAGGCTGCACCGACCGGTCAGGCGCGCAGCCGGAGAGAGAGGGAGGCGCTCAACGTTCACCCTTACCGCGTTGGTGTCCAGTCCGAGCCTGGCTGTTCTTCACCTGTCTACCTACCTACCTACCTGTTCTTCACCTTCCTACATACATACACACCCGGCTGAATGAAGTGGACTGCACTCGCCGCTCGAATCCAATTGTGGGGGGTTTACGACGGTTTTGGGGATCCTGCCGACGCGCTACAGTTGTAGCCCCACTGCCCTGTTCACGCGCGCGCGAACGCGCGCGCGAGACGTGCAGACAGGGTTGCCAGGTGAGAGCGAATGGCGCGGTTCACGCCTCGCACAACAGAGAGAGAGATGCGCTCTGGCCATGGTGGGACATAAAAGAAAGCGAGTACTTGGGCGAGTAGGCCGCGCGGTCAACGCTGCCGCGCGCAACTTTGCGCGCGAGGCGGCGCAGCTTGAGAACGGCGGGTGGGCGAGAAGCCGCCGCCGAACGTCTCGACTCTCGTGGAGCAGCAGGTTGAAGTTGTTGCGCTTGACACAGATCGCGTCGCGGTAGAAACCGCGATGCGCCTTGACGTAGCCCTGTTCACGCG